TTGAAATAAGCATCTGGTGTGCCAACTATTTTAGAAAAATAGGCTATTTAATCAGGAGGCTTGCAGAAGCATCTGAGGCTCCTGAGTAAAGTATCTGAGAATGGTTCCACACCATGGCCACACCAAACCTCCTGGCGAGGGTGGGTCCAACAGAAGCGGAAAACACTGCTGGTGTTGGGGTTTTCTTGGGATCCTAGGACTTTGACAACATGCTTAAAACCAGGTCTGGCTCTGATGTTTGCTTGACACCATGCATGGTCCCTGCCATGTCCCATGGCATGCACCAGGGTGACTAGGTCACATGGCTGAGGTCAGATGTCCTCCAGGATTCTCTTTCCTATGTGCCTTGAAGTGAGGACCCTGATTTGCTGGGGACACAGGGACAACCAACTGCCTCCCTTCAGGGGTCAGGGAGGAGGCCATGGTGGATAAGGAACACGCACAGGCAGGGCACCTGCTGTCTCAGCATTTCCCTCAGTCAGTCAAATATATCCTTGCTGTGCGGCACAGTCATGCTGACCCACAGAGGTTGGGCACCTGTGTGACTGGGGTCATTTAAAAATAGCTCATGATTTTCCTGGCTTTGTCTTTGGCCCTGGAGATACCTCAGGTGTGGCTGTCTGCATGGGGTTATGCCCACAGCACACTGTGATCAGGATCCCTGCCCGGGCAGGCCTGGGGTGGGGCTTGCGGAGGTGCATGAAGCAGGCAGGGTCTCCAACTGCATATGAGCGGAGAAGCTTGGGCCAAATTCAGCAAAAGGAGTTCATGCAGGAGATTCCAGGAGCCGGACAAGGGGACAGGAAGCAGCATGGGACTGCTTCCAGTAGGGAAGTGAGAGCCAGGGGACCTCAGAGAAAAGAAAGTTTAGGAAGCCCCTCAGTGTTCGCCCTTCACACTCCAGCCCAGGGCAACACTGGCTCTGTCAGCCCAGCTGGGCATGCATGGCACAGTGATGCTACGCAGAGAAGTTACACACCTGCCTGGCTGGGGGCAGCTGTTGCCTATGGGCCTCTAAGTACAGCTGTCCCACCCAGGTGACACTCCAAGGCAGTGAGGGTGCATAGGCTGGGAAGAGCTGACACCCCTGAGCACAGCTGAGGTGCCACCCTTCCTGGAGTTTGTCCCTGGGTCCTGATGGCTCAGAGGTGCTTTGCTAAGTGCTGGCAGTACCCACCTGACCAAGTCTTAGAGGCACTAGGTGCCCAGCTCCTCCTGTAGACCAGGCTGCTTGATGGGAAGAGGATGACCTGGGGTTCCATCTCTTTTCAAAGGAAACCTGACCTCACGGAGACAGGGTCTCTAGGCTTGGCACAAGGAAGGTGACCACAGAGCTGTGTATTACCCACACCTAGGGATCCAAGGCTCCTCCCAGCTGGTGTGGAGTAGGTGATTTCTGTCCCACACATCTTCAGAGCCCACAACCACATACCAAAGTCACTTCCTTCCCAGTGTGGCTCTCTCATCTCATCAAGACACAGAGATTCGCTCTCTAGGCAATGGCTGCATTTCCAAGCATCTTCCATTACCTTTTCAATAGTAATAGGGTTGATGACGGTGGCAAAGCTTTGCCTGGAATGCCTGCCACATCAACCCAGGCCTTTTTCCTCTTTTCCTAGGGAGGATGATGGATGGGGGAAGTAGAGTCTTCTGAGTCCAGGCACATCTGGGGTGGGGGGCGGGGAGGACAGTGGCAGCTTGGTGCTGTGCTGAGCAGCGTGTGCTATCTGCAGGGCTGACTGCCTGGGGACTGGAGGAAACCTTAGGGGACAGAGGTGGCCCCTCAGGAGGTGGTACAACGGGGTTCTGGGGCCTCCCTGGAGTGTTTCCTCATCCATAAAATGGGACCCATGACTCTAGCAATCTCTCAGGGTCTTTGTGAGAAATTGTAGATTAACAAGTGGGACAAATCTTGGCACGAAGAATTGTTCATAAGTGTCATCTACCCAGTGTGTGATAGCTGCAATTCTGGAACTGTTGGGTGTGGTAGGGAATGTGCAGATTTTAGTTCCAGGTTATGGGTGGGGGAAGTTGGAATATAAACAGACAATGGCAGGGAAAGAGAGAGAAAAATGCCACGATCTTGCCTGGCAAATCTGTGGTCAATGCTGCTTCTGGAGCAAAAGGGCAAAGTTGGAAGGAGGGACCCCAGGACTCGCCCTTCTCTGTGGCCTCCCTTCCCTGCAGTGGGCAACCTCTGCCTTTGTGAACCTGGCTTCCATGGCTGTCACCTGTGACCTTCCAAGACAAATTGGATGCCTGGTCCACTCCCCAGAGGGTCTGACTCAGTTGGTCTGAGTATGTAATGGGCTTTGGGATCTTTAACTTCTCTTGGGTGGGAGGTGACAGATGGGAAGAGGAAGCCGAGCTCTGGCCTGGTGGCAGTGGCTCTGCAAGCACATAGTTAGCAGATGCTTTTGAAAATTCCACTTGTGCAAGAAGAGTATTGCCTCACTCCTGCCCCCCACCTCAGTGTGCTCCCCAAGTTGGTGGAGGCCCTGGGTGGGGTCAGTTGGTACTTGAGTCAAGTTTGATCACAAGCAAATCTTCCCCACGAGGCCTTGGTGGGTGGCTGGCTGGCTCTGGGAACAGCTGCCACATGGCCAGGGTGCTCCTGTGGGGGCTGCCCTCTGACTTCGCTCAACTGGGTGGACTCTGCCTGCCTTGAAGAAGGAGCAGGTTCCTCAAAAGGCAGAGGTAGGTGTGTGTGTGTGTATGTGTGTGTATGTAGATCCTATTCATAGCCTTACAATTCAGGAAAGCTCCTAAAGACTCTTGGGTCATTCCTAAAAACTTGAAGAAAATAACAAGCACTTAAGGAACAAAATAATATTTTTATTAAAAATTATACCCATAGCACCTCTCTGCCTTCCTCCGAATTGTTGGGTTGTGTTTTTTTCCCCTTTCTTTTAAATGAGATCTGGTTTTCTACACCATTTCAGACAATCTTATAGGGGAAATGCAGGCCTGCCCTGAGCTCTCTCTAAATGGGAAGGTGGCCCTGGGTGCAGATGAGCCCTTGGTGCATTTCACACTTCTGCCTGGACTCTTGTCGGTTTCCAGAGCTGAAGGTGCCCATGCCAGGGGTGCAGGCAGTTGTTCATTGGTGACAGCTGCTCTGTGGGCTCAAAACATGGAAGAAGATAAACCATGCTCCACACTGTGATGGGCCTCCAGCGCGTGCCTGAGGCCAGGTGAGCCCGAGCACAGGCACAGCTTCCAAGGGTGTTTGCCATGATGCGCGCCATCCCTGTGGGTGGCAAGTGCACTCTGCTCCGCAGCTGGGACCCTGTGTGGGAGAGGCTGCCACCCTCCACCTCAGCTTCTTCTTCCTCTGGGGCGAGGAAGACAAGCAGGGAGGGGAGAGCTGCCGAGGGGCAGGTAGGCAGATGGGGCAGCCTGGGACACTGCACACAGAGGGGTCCTCTCTGGACACCATCATGCACCCCATCCTGCACTCCACTGTGCACACTGGGAAGGGCGGCTCACTGTGCAGTGCAAGCCTAACCCCAGTGCAGCTGCCATGGACAGACGACTGCTGGTCCCAAAGCTCCTGCAGCGCTGGCCTCCACGAGAGGGAGCGGAAGCACGCTCCACTCACCTCAGCGGTGGAACTGCTGCTGTCCTGTGATCAGAATGGAGGCTTCGATCCAGCGTCCACGTTCCTATTCTCCCTAGAGACACAAGGTGAGGACTGAACATGCCTTGATGTCCACACCGCTGAGGGCAGAAATCTAATTGGAGGCCCTGGCCCTGCTCCTTGGATGGGACAGAGTTCCTCAGAGTGACAGGCTGGACCACTGTCAGTGACAACCGTCTGTCAGCGGCCATAGGGCCAGGGCAGCCTGGAAAGACCACTGCATATGAAAAACAGTTTACTGGGCACATCCGCCATATGAATCTAAAAGTGCCACGTCATTGTCGTAAGAATCCAAGAGCAAAATCACACATCGGACCAAGGCGTCCTCAGCGCTGTCCTCATTCATTAAAGCGATTTCTTTATGGCTTAAGAACAAAGTGCATGGTGGTGGCCCAGCCCTCTGCACAGTGTTCTCTTCCTGGATGTTCACATGGCCACGCTGTGGTCTCCTGTCCCCTCCCCCTCTTTGGGGTGGCAGGGAGGAGGCAGCTCTGTCCTTGGAGGCCCTTCCCCACCCCTGGATTGTGGATGGCAGTTGTCATACAGAAGTGGATTTGGGCAGAGCATCTGGGATTTTTGGTTTAGAGTATTTCCCCTTCCATTCAGAAAAAGAAGGAAGGGAGAGAGAGAGAGAGAGAGAGAGAGAGAGAGGAAGGAAGAAAGGGAGACAGGTTTCTTTTCGCAGCTATTATGGGGAAGCTGAAAGGATTTTTACCCCACACCCACCTTTCCTTGGTCTCTTGGGGCCACACTGGGAAACCGTGGAAGCAGGAATTGAGACACTATCTGCCCCCTGGCCTGTACATGGCCATGGAACTGGCTTCCTGGTGACACCAGCCGGGCGATGGCCCAGTGAGTCCCTGCCTTCTGGGCCCTGAGGTTCCTAGGAGGACGATGCCTGCTTCATCCTGCTGTGGTTTGGCTACTGATAGAGGGCCTCCAGTGTCATGTGTCACCCGAAAGCTGGGAATGTGGGGTGCTTGTGAGTACCGGGCTTCGCATGCTGCCTGGTGCCAGTGGCCCTGTGGTCACATCCAGCCAGGATGTGACAGGAGCTGACCTCAGCCATCTGTCACAAAAGTAACTGGAAGAGCCAGAGGCACAGCTGTGGTGTGAACCCATAAGAGTTCCAAAGTAGTTCATTCTATTTTCATTTAGTTAATAAAAATTAAAACAGTGACAAAGAAAAACTGTTCCAAGAAAACCTGTTAAGGCTACAAGCTGGCCTTGGATGGGGGTTGGGGTAGCAGCGCTGGCAGTCAGAAGCAGGGGCAGCCAGGAAGAGCAAGGGGACAAAGGGAAGGACTGTCCCCCAGGTGCTCGGGTGGCCCAGGGCGCACGCAGTCACTAAGGGCCCGGGTCTCGGAGTGGTTTTGCTTTATTTGGAGACACGGTTGCTTCTCATCTTTCTCATGTACAAAGCTGAACAATTAATAAAAAGGCACCTGGAGACAGCAAAGATGCATTCATTTCATGTGACATAGTTTAAAAAAAGATAAAAAGATTTAAAAAATACTCTGGTTAACAATGCACACTTCCTACAGAACAAGCAACTCTGCAAGCGCCGGCTCACTCTGTCGGGGGGTGGGCCGTGTGCTAGTCACAGGAAGTTCACCGAAGGGCCTGGCTGGCCTGGGAGCCGGGGGAAGGGGTCCTGTCCTTGCTCTGTCAGCTTGAAAGAAAGAAGGGAAGAAAGGAAAGCCCTGAATATTTCACCACCAGAAGGACAGAAGACGAGCCGGCCTGGGCAGGGTGGAGGATGCCCTTTTCCAATAGCTCACCCTCCCCGCACCCCCATTCCAGAAGCCTTAAAGCTGATTCTTTGCCTCGAAACGGTGGAGTGAGAACGGGTTGTAGCCTAGCCGAGTTGGGTCACAAAGCTCTAACTGAGCCCAGGTCAAAGCGCCTGCTCGCCACACCCCAGCAGCAAGGGAGCCAGTGAGCCAAGATCCCGAGTTATCCAAAGACAGAGCTGATTCTCGGAAGAGGAGGTAGAGGTGGGGCAGGCTGGGGCTCCATTCTGAGGACCCCACCTCCTGTCCCTTGTCACCTCCGGCGGTTTGGAGGATGAGAAGCCACTGCACCAGGGACAAACCTTCTCTTAAAAAGAAAAGAAAACAAAGAGCCCTGCTTTCTGCAGTGGTGTTACAAAAAGCCATTAAAAAAACCTTCCTAATTGAAATCTAGTGTTCACGAGTAGGTAAAATCGCGCTTATCAGATTTTTTTTCCTTTTAAACAAAAACCTCAGCTCAGTTCCTGGAGTTGGTTGTTTTAACAAAAATAGACTCCGGAAGGTCCACATCCATCTTGCCCCAGTGTCGGCACGGTGTCACACGAAGGAAGAGAAGCCGGTGAGAGGGGCACGGGCGCTGGGGCCAGCTGGGGTGTAGACGCCGCCCGCACTCTGCGTGGTGATCACTGGGTGTGGGTGCTGATCTGCCTCGGCCCCCGCCACCGCCTCGTACCTGTGTAGCGCTGAGGCGGGGGGCCTCCGCTTCCAGGAGTTGTAGTAGGTGGGGTCGCTCATGTAGTGATTGACAAAGGAGTGCTTGGGCAGTGCGTCCTCGTAGTCTGAGTCGGAGGCCTGCAGGAGAGCGACAGTATGAGTCCTAGAGGCTAGGGATGGCTCTGGGCTGAGCAGGGAGCAGGACCAGCAAGTCATCCAAGATGGGGGTAGCGAGCTTGTCACCTGCTTCCAGCCTTCTGTTCCCTGCTCTAGAAGCCACAGGAGAGGGCTAGATGGCCCACAGGATAGTCGGCCCTTTGGGAGCAGAACCCAGAAGCACAATAGCAACAGGATGGGCCTGGGGCTTTAGGCCTCCAGGAAACTGCAGCACTGCTATGGAGCAAAGAGAAAGGGTTCTGTAGCTTCATTAGAGGTGGCGAAGCCTACTTTTGAGAACAGCTCACATCCAGGGGCCCTGGTAGGAGGGTGCTGAGAAACGATGCTGGAGAAATCGCTCCACATCTCCATCCACTCTCTCTGGCACAGGAGAGCCTTCTACCCTCCAGGTGCTGGGCAGAAAGCTATACTAGGGATCCCAGAGGCCTCTGAGGATCTCTCTTGTCAGGGTCTCTACTTTTCTATAAAGTAAGTCTGCAGCTTTTGCCAAAAATATTTATACACATTTTCTATGTTCATTTCTTAGAGAAAAATTATTTTACTGTTCTTTGAGTTAACTTGTTAGAGGAAGCACTAAAGCAGGTGAGAGAGGGTCCCCTGTGTCTGTGGGGGCTCCCAGTTTGCCACACCACAGACTGGGCCTGCCACTGGAGGTTCTGTGAGCTTCCTGAGCCACTCAGGGGCCACCTTGCTGGGCTGGCACCCAGCACTGCCTGCAGTGGACCACAGGCATGGTAGACACCCTCAGTGTGTCTGCCCGAGGTGGCTGGCTGGCCTTTCAAGTTCAAGGAGGGAGCAGAAAAGTGTGCCCTGGAAGAGCTTCTCCGTCCAGGCCCCTGCCAGGATAGGGGACCTCGTCTTGGGGACACATGGTGTCCTGCTCCATTGATATGCTCCTGTCATAGAGTCCCCACAGGGCATGTCTCCTCCCTGTACTCCAGGGTCCCATCTTTTTTTGTTTGTTTTTTTGTTTTTGTATTTTAGGGAAGAGTCTATAGGGTGTTTAGGATCTCCCTACTAGATCGACTCGTAGTAATCTGCCTGTTTACAGCCTCCCAAGAGCTGGGATTACAGGCGTGTGCCACCACACCCAGTCTCAATTGCCATGTCATCGTGCCCCAGGAGCGGGACCAGCATGGCAGGATTGAACCCCTGGCCCCTGTGCCTGCTTGCAGGTGCTTCAATCTGCTGAGTTATTTGGCCGGCCCTCAGGGTCCCATCTTGAGGCCTCAGTGTAGCTGCCTCTCTCTCTGCAGCAGACTCGGTGGGGGTGGGAAGTCCATCTGGGTCTCAGAATCACAGTGGCTCAAAGGGCAGGTCATGCAGTGGCCTGGGGGCTGGGAATATACCTGCTTTAGAAGACCCCAGTGAGCTGGTATGGTGGTGTGTTCCTATAATTCTTGTACTTTGGGAAGTGAGGCAGAAGAATTTTAAGTTCGGGACTAGCCTGGTCAATTTAGCAACTTAATGAAATCTTTTCTCAAAATAAAAAAGGGTCAGGGATGCAGCTCAGTGTGAAAGCTCTAGGTCCAATTTCCAGTACCTACACACACACACACACACACACACACACACACACACACACACACGCATGCACGCACACACACTCGCGTGCACACATACACACATGCATGCACACAGGCATGCACAGAGCTCTCGGTGGACAGGGGCTTCTGGCCCACTGGGGGTGTCCTGTGGATGTGGGCATGAGTGAGGAGGCTGCGACCCCAGCTGGAGCACCACTTCCAGATGGTAAATTTTCTCAGGAGGAGACGCTTCCTCTCAGTGGGGCTGGGGCTGAGGACCGGAAATTGCTGCCTCTGGTTTCATCTAGAGCAGGGGAAGGGTTCCAGCTACTAGAAGCGCTGTTCCTGGCGCCTGCGAGTGTGAGTCTCCTGGCCTGAAAGGCCTGTGAGTCTGGTGTGAACCACCCTCCTCCATCCTGCAGGACCTGTTGCCTGATGAGCCTCCTGCCTTGGGAGCTGTAGGAGCCCACCCAGGAGCCCCTGGGATACACAGGGCAGAGCCATAGCTTCCTGGGAGTTTCTGACACAGACTGAAAATTGCACTCCAGGTGGAGGAGTCACTTGCAAGTGATGGCAAGTCACAGTGCTGGGGCTTGGGGGGCCACCGACCTGGCCTGTTTGTGCTGTGGGTGTGGAGCACAACTGTTCTTTTTCTGTTTTTCTGTTTTTTTTTTTTTTAACTGTCAGGTCCATAAATGTGGGGCTGAAGCTACTCCCTGGGTGTAGAGATGCAGCCTCTCTGTGACCTCACCATGGTGACACACATTTCAGAGGCTCTGGCTTTGTGAACTCAATGTGCCCCAGATTAACCCAGTAGCTCTGCAGCCATGTGATGGTGCTATGATGTGGGGCTTTGTTTCTGTCCATGGAGGACAGAAGGAGGCTTGAGTCACCACTGAGCCCAGAACCCTTTGTGGACAGGAGCTCACTCCAGTTCCAGGTGTCTCCTCGGAATCAGGTGAAACCAACAAAATCCTCTGCCCCCAAACCATGACCCTAAACCCATGATGCTCGGAAAATCAAAACCTTCTCTGGCTGGTGGCAAGGTGGAACCCAAGGGGAGCCGGTCTGGTGGTTCCCCTAGCTGAACCGTGAGCTGATTCGACGTGAACACTTGCGTGTTCTGCTGCACAGACACTCGAGAGTTTGATCACAGCTGGCCCACTGCAGGCGCCACACGGCCCAGATCGAGTCCCAACCTGAGCTTTGCTGAAACATGCTCTCCTTGAAGTGTCTGCTGCGAGATGAGGACCTGCACCTGCGGCCACTGTGTAAGCTGCATCCTCTGCTTTCCAGAGGCCTGAAGGTGGCTTAGGAGGCAAAGCTCTGTGTAAACTACGATGAGGAGGACAGGGAACAGGGCTCACCGAGAGAAGCTGGAGGGCTCTATGTTGTCAGCCCTGACCAGAGTCTGCTGCGTCCTCCAGTGCTGACAGGGGAAGGAAGTGCTGTGGGGGGAATGGGAGGACAGCTCTGTTCCAGGCTTAACAAACCTTGTTATCCCTCTGGGGCCACCCTTGGGTGCTGGGTGTCCCTGCTCAACTTCCCTGCATTGACAGGTGAGAAGCAGTGAATAGATCCAGTCTCATTTGGGGTCTAAAAAAGAACCAATATCTGCAAATTCACATGGCTTTCTTAGGTCACGCCAGCATGGCCACACTGGGGCTACAGCCAGGCAGGTATCTCAGCCAAAGTCAGCAAGAATGCAACCTTCCTAGGAACAGAGAGGGGACGTCTGCTTGTCCAAGAAAAGGCTGGGAGACACCATTTATGGCAGCGAGTCTTGGATCAGGGCTCTCTGAGGGGTGGAAGAACCATCTAACTCAGTGGGACCCTGTGCTTCCAATTCTGCTTCAGTGACCCACCCCCCGGCATACCTTGCATCCATATGACACCTTTGGCTCCCTCTGCCCTCTTGAGACCCTTGTGCACCTCTCCTTCTACAGGAATAGGGCTGTGGGGAAGCAGGTTCCTAATCAGGTGGACCCAGCGTGGGCAGCAGTGAATTGCTGTGTTCTCTTGCTAACCGTGCATCCTGAACTGCTTAGAGAATGGAAGCACTCTGCATCCTGCCCCCTGCACACATATCTATGTGGTTAATAAAAAGCCATTTTATTTGAGACCCCTTAGGCACATCACTATGTATTTCATCAGTCAAATGTCTAAACATGCTACAGTACCCAGAGAAGGAGTTGTAACAGATGTGGGTACTAGGGAGGGTCCTGGCAAGAGACACAAGCAGGGAGTGCCTGCTTGGCACACAATGATGTCCCAGTGGTGGGGTCTGGGCTCTGCCTTCTTGGAAGGAAGCTACCCTTCTGCCCCATGGACTGAACGGCTCACCCCTCAGAGAGTAGTGATTGGTTCATGGGTGAGCATATGACTTGTGTGGAACCAATCAGAGCTTCTCCCTCTGCATCTAAGAAGTCAGGGTTCTTAGTGTAGGGACACAGCTGGGAAGTGGGTGGCCAAGTGGCTCCAAAAGCCAACCAGACAGCAAAACCATCATGTAGAAAGAAGTTCAGATGGGAGACTAAGAGAGGCTTCTTTGTGTTCTGCTTTTCATTTGGGCAGGAAGAGTGAGAAGGTACTCAGTGTCAGATGACAGATGTCACCACAGTGTGAAGTACAAGTCAGGCCTCTGGTTCCTGCTCACACCTTGCATTGATTCCTGGTGAATGATGGCATTAAAACGCCATCCTTCTGCCTCCAGCTCTGTTTATTGTTTATAGGACTTACTAGTTTTTAATGGGTGTGTGTTTTAGTGAGTGAAAATTATGGACAAAAAAGAAATGCCACAGGTCTTTTTGGTGTTTCCCGCATGATGTGAAGTTGTGGTGTGCAGTGGTTTCCTAGGAAACCACAGAAGGAGGGAATGTGATTAGATGCGGCATCAGACTGGGAGTTCCCAAAGGTGCCAGCTGCCAGGTCACCAGTTATGAGAGATCATCTCAGCATGCGGGGTCCACACTAGCAGATGAAAGACCCAAGTGTCATTAGGGCGTTAATTAGGTATGGGGTGGGGGTGACGGTCTAAGTTAGTTAGAGTTAGAGGGATTCTGAAAAGCACTTCTTTAGATTTCAAAAGCAACTTATAATATGTGCTCTGAATAGCAGTCCTGATAAAACTCATAGCAGCCATGAGAGGAAACAGTGACCACGTCTTGTTTCTAACTGGAGTGCCAGTGTGAACCACGGCCTTGGCCACATGACACTGCGGCAAATGTCCAGCAGCTCTGATCAGGCTGCCTTCTGTGCAGTGGGCTGCTGTGCAGAATTTTCACCAAGGCGGTATTTCTAAAATTTATAAACAAAAATACCCTTGGAGATAAGCACGGCATCACTATTTTCTCAGTGAGAATATGAACATTTTTGAAGAGCTCTTCTAGCAGAGACTAGTGAGGGTGCTGCCTCCTCATCCCAGGAGTCCTGGAG